CTCCACTTCTTGGTGTGTTGTATGTTCTAGTGTGATGGCAACAAGATGTGTTGTGCTAGTTTTACATTAGAAGGCACGATTGCCTGATTTGCAGATGTCTGCCTTATTGACTATTTACCTATCGCTATGTTCTTCTTGACAGAGTATGTCTCGATGGCCATGAACTTTGTAAATTTTTAGCACTTGGTCCCACCGTGCGTGCCAAAATATTGACCCTAAAAACTACCAAGCCTACGTGGTACACATACTAAGTAACTAATGAGCTAACTACTTCATTCTGGTGGATCTAGGTGTGCCAACTCGCAACCAAGCTCAATCGGCGAGTAGAATGGAAGTGATAGTGGTGGTGGTGTCGAATGCACTGTTGATTTCTATATCCGAGCGATCACGATCAAGGAAAGAACATATCGGCCTTGGGTTCTAGAACCTGAAGACAAGGTTGCTAATCACTACGAAGTTCAGGATCTGCCACACCAGGTTCGACTGCCTCAACTATATTCGTCAAAGTATAAGTGTGCCAAATCTGTATCAAACTAGAAGGACATAAATACTTAAAAGAGATAAGTGTCTTAATGGTAAATGTTGTTCAGCGGTTAGAATACTGAACTTTGAAGCGTACCTCAAAGTAACCAACCATAGAACACTTCACTTGGCTGGAAGCTAATGAAGTGACCTTGTTTAGCGAAAGAATCAAGGACTCCTCGCTGGCTGAGACTTGTATAGTTAATCAACCAAGCTTAAAGTAAAACTATCAATCCAAGATACTTTTCGATCGCCTGATTCTACGGGTCTAGTGTTGTTAGTTTAAAATGAAGATATCACTGGTTGTCAACACAACACTGTTACTCCAAACTGAAAATGTGTTGATAGAGTTAGAAGAGTTAGTGATTTCTCAAAATATGAGAAGGATTTGTGGAAAGCGAGGTTTTGTGCAGGGCGGTTATGTGTTGAGTTGAAGGTCATTTTCTTGTTGTAGTACCACTTCTATTTATAGGGGTGAATTTCGTGAAGACCAAGCATGCTGAAGTAAAGTCCTAATAGAACTATACTTCTTTGGCTATTCTCTGAATATTCTCAACATTATCTTATCACTAAACGAAACCAGTCTATACATGATTTCAACCACTTCGACTAGAACAAGGATTTGGAAGCTAGTCCTTTTATGCATCATATTCATTCCTTATTTGATTAGATACGAGTCTTCATTCTTGAAACAATTCGAATCTTATTAAAACTCATTCTGATCTATACCTATTTCACTTCAATTAGGACTCGGCCGAATCACTTCTCCACTTGGTCCTTTTAAGAATCTCTCTTCTGTTAGGCATCGGCCAAATCTCACTATGAGCTGGATATTTGGATATCATTTGGCCTGAAGGATTACTTATGGGCCAAAATTAAACCGTAGTGCAAATTATCCACCTTGGGCCCAAATCCAATGTTCCAAACCCAAACAACATTAAAAATATTTTTTTTTACAAAAAGTACAATAATCTCAAACTCACTCTTTTCTTTTAACAACTAATTACTCATAATACTTGTAATAATACTTTTCTTTTCAAATTTCATTGCTAAGAGAATTCAAAGTAGTTGAAAATGAATCGCATTTGATCGTTTGGCAAAAGGGAATTTTTTTTTTTAAATATTAAACTTTCTAACACGTGTAACTCGGCCTAACGAAGAACAATCAGAAATGAAAATAAAATTTCTAACACATGTAACTTGACCTAACGAAGAACAGTCAGAAATGAAAATAAAATTTCTAACACATGTAACTTGACCTAACGAAGAACAGGTAGAAATGAAAATAAAAGAAACTTCAAATAAGAAACTTCAAATAAAAATATAAGAAACTTCAAATAAGAAACTTCAAATAAGAAACTTCAAATAAGAATCTTCAAATAAGAATCTTCAAATAAGAATCTTCATCTACAAATAATGACCCTACAAAAAATTTCCATCCTACCTTTAATTATCTTCAGTTCAAAGGGGGAAAAACACAATTAAGAAAGAAATTAAATTTCACTCATGATAAAGAAAACCCTACTTCGTTGCAAAAGACTAACTTGGAAGAACCCTGTTGAATTTTATTCAAAAAAACATTTCTTTTAAAATTTTGGTATTTCTCAATAGTGCTTTCAAGAGTCATAAAGTTAATTTGAAGAGTGCTATGAATTTACATATTTTCTTTCTCAAAATAATATAAATTATAGTACGTTTTTGTTTGAAGTAAAAGTTGGCTGCTTGGATTCGAGAAGGTCTTGGCTCTTCAACGTATTCCAAACGTGTGATGCTGCTTGCGGGTACCCTGAAATTGGATGGTCAAAATTACTGTTCATTGACTGGAATTTCATATATACGTTATCACACGTGGTACTTTGAAATACTAATTGTTGGTGAATAAAGGTGTTTTGGAATATTCAATTGTGATTTTGAGAGATTTTAATAGATTTACGAGGTTAAGAATTTTGATAGTGTTTAACCGATTTTTAGAGATTTCATGTGAAATTTTAATTCAATTCTTTCGAAATCTCAAGGGAACTAGTGAGATTTGTGGATGCTTAAAATATCATATGAATTCGCTCCATTGCCCTTAAATTGCTTCGCTTTTTAAAATTGTTTAAAATAAATTCATAATTGAATACACTTGTAACAGTATAAACTTCTTTAAAATTGTAACTGAATACACCTAGATTCTTAAGAATTTTAATAAACTATCTTGAATTCATGATCGATCGAATACAAGTTAAATTTCAGAGAATCATTTAAAATTCTAAAATATGTGAATTACATAATACACAAGTATGTATTAGTCCCCTTCTGTTAAGGGATTTCTCATGTAAACTAATTATGATAGGAATTCGTCAACAAAGGGGACTAACCAATCCATAATTTAGAATGTAATTGGCCAGTACTTGATTATGGATTGGTTATCTTTGAATGACAAAAAATAAAAAAATAGGTTAGTCGTTCATAAGGAATTGGTTTCTAGATCTTCAACCAATTTCTATTGCGCCCTTGTTTTCTTTATGTGGTAAGTAACTTTCGTTCAGGGTCACATATAAAATTTACAAACATTTTTTTTAAATATATTATAATCTTAAAAATTAAACCATAGTTACATCATTCATATTTATAAAACAAATAACAATACAAGTTACAATTATCCACAATGCATTGTCAATATGAAAACGCTGGATTATAACTTCATATCAACGGAAAAAAAATTTGCTCTCAATATAAACTACCAATGTATCACTCAATTGTTTCCCAATTGGTTATGCAATGACTTGTCACAATATTCATAGCGGAAAAAGGCTCTCTCCACTTGAGATTTTTATTGATTTTAATAGATTTATGAGGTTATGAATTTTGATAGAGTTTCACTGATTTTTAGAGATTCCATGTGAAATTTTAATTTAATTCCCGCGAAATGTCAAAATGAGCGGTGAGATTTGTGCATGCTTAAAATACACTATGAAACCTCTCCAATTCCCTTAAATTGCTTAGCTTTTTAAAATTCTTTAAAATAAATTCCTAACTTAATACACTTGTAATAGTATAAACTTCTTTAAAATCGTAATTGAATACACTAGCATTCCTAAGAATTATAATAAATTATCTTGAAGTCATTATTGAATACACTTTGAATTTCAGAGAATCATTTAAAATTCTGATTGAATACTCCTAAATTTATTAAAAGAATTAAAATCTCTCAAAATCCCCATTGAATACACCCTCCTAACTGACAAAGTATCTTACAATATATAATGCTTCGTTCTACTTTTAATGGCATCAAGGTTTGTTGTGATAAACTTTTGAATCTATAGGTTGTGAAATGTCAGTAGTACTGAGCGACGAATTCAATACTAAATTAGGTTGCTCATTGTGGTCTAGCCGAACTCCCTCTCCCCTTAGTGTAAAAATATCGATATAGGTTGTAAAATGTAAGTGTAATATCAATATGATTAATGGTGAGTCACTGATTTATTTTTCTCAAAATCTTTAAACTTGTTGCCTTCATCGAATATAATTAGCAGCTTACAGATTGTTTTGGTACCAGGTTCATGGTACATTGCATTATTCTTTACTAATACATGATCGAATAATGACAAATATGTGAATTACATAATACATTAGTATTTATTAGTCCCCCTTCTCTTAAGGGATTTCTCATGTAAACTTATGACAGGAATTCCTCAACAAAAGGGGACTAACCAATCCATATTTCAAAATGTAATTGGCCGGTACTTGATTATGGATTGGTTATCTTTGAACTACAAAAATAAAATTGGTTAGTCGTTCATAAGGAGTTGGTTTCTACATCTTCAACCAATTTCTAGTAACATTAAACTGACGTATAAAAAGTTGAAGTAAATAAGGGTGGGCTCCATTGCGCGTATATCCAGGAAATGTTATTCAGGGTCACATATAAAATTTACAAACATTTTTTAAATATATAATAATCTTAAAAATTAAACCATAGTTCCATCATTCATATTTATAAAACAAATAACAATATAAGTTACAACTATCCACAACACATTTTCAGCATGAAAACGTTGAATTGTAACTTCATATCAATGGAAAAAAAAATTAAAAATTGCTCTCACTATAAACCCCCATGTTATCACTCAACCGTTGATTTCCCATTTGGTTATGCAATGGACTTGTCACAATATTTATAGTGAAAAAGGCTCTCTCTACTTAAGCAGTAGCAACTAGTAAAATCAAAGCCAATGTCATTAGCAAATATACATGATTGTATACTCTATTTCTCCTTGTGTCCACCATTTTTTTGCAAGACTACCCATTCTTTTTAATTAAGAAAATTCACTACTTGAACGTATATAAAAAAAAATATAATGTTCAAGTGGATATATTTAAAAAAATTCACTACCCATAGAGATTCACTGCAATTCGGGAGGTCAGCTGACCCCCTTTCCACTTAATGGATCCGCCAGTGCTCCTATATATATCTTATACCCCACGTAGGGTTTTCAAAGTGCTATACTAAACTCTAATTCCTTAATTACGTCTTCAGATCCAAAAAAATAACGAAAATGGTCACCAAAACAAGAGCAGACGAGAGGGATGGAAGTGGTGCCAAACTCAGTATTCCCACCATTGATCTTCATGGCATTGATACCGACTCAGTTTTACGAGCACAAGTCGTCGAGAAAATTCGATATGCATGCGAGAAGTGGGGTTTCTTTCAGGTTACAAATGGAATTCCCGTTGATGTTTTGGACAGGATGGTACATGGAATACGTGAGTTTCATGAGAAGGATAATGATGTTAAGAAAGAGTTGTGCTCAATGGATACTGGGAACCAGGAGCAGTACCTGTCCAGTAATCGTTTCCACAAATCCAAAAGAGGAAACTGGAGGGATACGTTTGTGTGTTATCGGTCGCTTAATCCACCCAAACCCGAGGAATTACCCCCAGTGTGCAGGTATGCTCATCAGTATATTTAGTAATGCCTAATTAATAGTTCTGATTCACAATCTAACTAGTCGAGCATTACATGCAAGAGAGAATCCATTTAATTTCTTATAACAGCGTATAACTTTATAATGTATTTGATCCTCTTTCATGCATATACCTCAAATTAATACAAAGTTAAGCCTACATAGTTTATAAACACAAACTCCTGGGTCCTTAATTTTGTAACCAGAGGATTTTTATTTTTTTTTTATTTTTTTATTTTTTTGTAGTGGAGTTACTATATATAACTTCACCTTTAATTAGGTTCTTAGCCATTACTTACATCACTTAATAAACAATAGTGTTATTTAAACATACTGACTGTATTAAAGAGTGTGCCAACAAGTATGTTAGTTTTGAGTGTCTATATAGCACTATTTTTTCTTATTATTATATTAGTACTAATTCCACGAGTTGGAATACTTGCAGAAGAAATATTGATTGATCAATATGTTTATCACTTAATAAACAATAATGCTATTTAGACACATTGATTGTATTAGGGAGTGTGTGTCAACAAGTGAGTCAGTTTTGGTATATATACAGCATTACTCCATAATAAAAAAATTATGATCAGTACTAATTAACTTCATGTGTTTGAATACTATGCAGAGAAATAGTGATTGAGTACTCAAAACAAGTGAAGGATTTGGGAATTACGTTGTTTGAGTTGCTGTCTGAGGCTCTTCGGATGAATCCCAACAAACTTAAACACATGGATTGCGCTGAGGAGTTTTCTATTTATGGTCACTACTACCCACCATGCCCTAAACAAGAATTGACTATAGGCACCGATCAACACACCGATGGCAGTTTAATCACCATACTTTTACAAGACCAAGTGGGTGGCCTCCAAGTTTTGTATGAGAATCGATGGGTTAATGTTCCTCCCATGCAAGGAGCTCTTGTTATCAATGTAGGAGACCTTCTGCAGGCAAGCTCTCATTCCCGGACCATTAATTAGCCACTTTTCATTGTGCTAAATTTAGCAGTGTTTTGTTCACTTGTTACTTGACCAAGAATTCATGGTCATCACCCATCATATCATTAGATTTTGATATTAAGGGTGGGGAATAAGTTGATGTGCTTTTAATGTTTTAATCTTTACCATTCATATCAAATATATGGAGGAGTGACCATGTATATTCTCAGTCACTTATGACCAATGAGACATTTTTTATGACAAAGCGTATACATAAATTGACTTTTCAAAAACTGATAATTCTTTGTTACTTTGGTGCAGCTCGTGACAAATGACAAGTTTATCAGTGTTAATCACAGAGTTATAGCGCAGAGTGTAGGCCCAAGAGTTTCTGTGGCAAGCTTTTTCATGCCAGATGCTCGGCCAGGAAATTCAAATGTCTATGGACCAATCAAGGAGTTGTTATCAGAAGAAAATCCCCAGATATACCGAGAAGCTAATATTGAAGATTATCTTAAACACTACCTCTCGGAAAAGGTTAAAGGAAACTCCGCATTATCACAGTTCAAACTGTGAAGGGTATTCAGTTGTTTTGTTACTCCCTCGTCGTCGTGGTTGGTGGCGGCGGATCTCATTGGCCCCACGCTGAACCTCTGGTCTTTGGGCTAGGGTTTTCATTTCCTTTAGCTCGTCTTTTTCTTTGTTAGGTTCATTTGTCTGAACTTCTCATTTGTGTTTTAGTGTCGTCACTTGTATGGTGATAAATCTGTGTGCTGTCCTCTCTGCGTTCTGTAGCACCTGGTCGTGGTGTCAAAATAACGTGTGCTAAAAAAATAAAATTTGTAAAGTCGTTGTCAGAATTCATGAAGTTGCTGATTAATAAGCTTTGGTCGTTATATCTATTCTATTAAGAGAAGGAATGCATTTTTGTTCACCCTCATTTTGTGTGGTGTATGCCTTATTAACTACATTGCAAAAGATGAAGTTGGTACAAAGGAAGAGAAAGAATTGGTAGAGAGAAACAAGAGATATTGTATTGATTGACTAGAGAAAATGTATACAACTGAACCTAATGAAATAATAGCTATACAATCCCTTATATAGCCATATATCCTAAATACAATAATACCCTTCTAACTATACTAACAAACTCCACTACTGAAATAGTGCCATGTGGCATTTCTGTTATTACCAAACATTTCTATTATTACTCCCCCCTCAAACTGAACTTGGTGTAGCCAAGTTTGAACTAGCTAGAACTCTGAAACTGATCCGGAATTGCAAGACGTTTTGAATGCATGACAAAGGTTGTGGTGAAGCCTGGGATTTGGTAGGAGGACCATGTGACTGAGAGATCCAAGTTTTCCAATAGGGACATGCTTAACGGTACATAACTTGGAGAAAGATTTGATGAAGGTACCGAGCTTAGAGAAGCCAATGCACGAATGATTCAGTTCTAAGCCAACAGAAGCCCTGAAATCACTTTTCAGAGAGGAGAGAGCATATTCTCCAACCGTGGGCTTTGGCAGACGTTGTAAGAAGCGAGGAAACCGCTTCTTGAAAGCCATACAGGCATGCTTTTTTCTTTGAGAACTCAATTGATCAACCCATGAGGCTAGTTGAAATGTATGTTACTGCTGAAAAAAAACTCTACACAATACAGTTTCTAATCCTAATCTGTTGAAAAAAAAAAATAATCTTGAACTAACTAAAACTTTACAGAGACTGGCACCAAATCAACTAAGGGGAATGACACTCCAAGAAACCGAATCAACCAAAGAGAATGACACTCCAAGAAACCAAATCAACCAAGGAGATTGACACTTCTGATAGCTTCCTAAATCTTAACAAGGAGAATGACACTCCAAGAAACCAAATCAACAAAGGAGAATAACACTCCTGATAGCTTCTTAGATCTTCCCAGATACTAACACCAAAATTAACCAAGGAGAATGACACTCTTGAGATCTTCCTAAATCTTCCCAGAGACTAACACCAAAATTAACCAAGGAGAATGACACTCCAAGAAATCAAATCAACCAATGAGAATGACACTCCTGATTGGCTCCACCAGATCATCAGAATACAATCAATCATGAATAAAATCAAGAAACTATCAAAAACTTTATCAATGAGGAATTTGAGGGAAACTACATAACATACTAGCAGACTATCAACGACAACTCTAGACAATTAAGAAACGCAGATCACTAGACACTGGTTTTACAATTGAACCTTGTCCCCCGGATCACTAGATCATCAGAATCGCAGAAACTCCTTCAAAACAATTATCTTGGCAAACAATCAAGAAACTATATTTCATCATTCTTCAACTAATGTCAATGGCCTTCACAAGTAATCATGTATAAAATCTCACACTTTATCTTTTGCGGCAATTCCACAAACACCATGCATGCATAAAGAAGATGACAAATACAAGAAACAACCTAACAGAGTCCAAGATCCCACTTTCCAATCAGCAACGCATAAGAGAAAGAATCATCATCGAATTGAGATTTGACAGAGTCCAAGATACCACTTTCCAATCAGCAACGCACTGTAATCTTTTAACAACCCAAATTTTGATCGACACTCTCTGTTCATAGCCCAAATCTCTGAAATTGGAATTTCATATCCCCAATTTCTGAAACTATGCAGATCTTCATGAAAACCTTAACCTTCTAGAGAAAGAAAGTGAGGGTTCCACGAACAAAGCCGAAGCCTAAAACACTTTCGTGTTTGTTTATACCATATTTAGGGCCTCGTATTTTGATCTCGTACAAATACTCGGAGGACTTAAATGTAATTATGTGATAAAGGAAGGGGTAAATATGTAATAAGTGAGGAGTCTTTATTCTATAAAAGGACCCCTCACCCTCACAATTAGGAGAGGCCAATTCTTAAGCCCTCTCACCCCGTCTCAAAGCTCTCACTCTCAGAGCTCTCTCCCCCTCAAATAAATACATAATCAGTGTGGACGTAGCCCAAACCTTAGGGTGAACCACGATACATCTTGTGTTATTTACATTTCTTGCAGATTCATGGTCGGATTTACGTTGTTCCAAAACCTCCGATTTTGTGCATCAATATTTGGCGTCGTCTGTGGGAATCGACACGAAAAACTATGTCGGTTCTCTTTCATTTCTTCACCTCCACCGTGAATCTGCAAAATCACAAAAAGAACCCAGAAAAAGAAAAGATCTAGATCTCAAACACTTGCTCCAGATCTCAAACATTTTCTCTCTCTTCTTTCTTTTTCACTAACAAAGGAGCTCTGAGAGTTACAGACAAAACATAGAGAGGAATTACAGACATCCATGGCTTGTGCAACAACAAGACCCACATTTTCTTTCCACCTCTCAACCACTTTCCCCTCAAAACCCCACAAGTTGTCTGCAAACTCCATTGATGTGTCAAAGGAAGACAAAAACTCCATTGATGTGTCAAAGGAGGACAAACCCACTTCAGACGAACCCATATCGCCCCCTCCTACCTCCTCCGTAGACCCACCATAGCATGTGCCGAAGAAACTCAAAACGACATTCAATAAGCGACGGCTGGAGGAGAAGTTTGTGGTGTTGAACACTGAGGTGTATGAATGCAGGGCAACTGAGCCAATAGGACCTTGCCAATAGGTCGGTGGCCTCAATCTGCAAGCTGGTTGGCATTACCTGCTGGAACAAGAAGGAGAATCGCCTCATCAGCCTCCAGCTCCCGTCAATGGAGCTCGCCGGCAAGCTCCCAGAGTCTCTCAAGTTTTACCACAGCCTCCAGAGCTTGGATCTCCCCAATCTTTCTAGCAACTCTCTTTCCGGTTCGATCCCGCCGGAGATCGCCAACTATGGCAGCAAAACCCACATCCCAGAATACGATTCCGAGCTCAAATGACTAAGGACCCATCTCAGCCCGACCCAGAAACCATGCTATTTTCGAAGCTTTCAAGAAGTTGAAGCGTTTGAAGCTGTTGGAGCCATCCCATCTTTGACCAGCTCTACTGCCTCCTGTAAAGTTGAAGCGTTTAAAGCCGTCAATGCAGGGTATTCAAAGCTTATCCTCTATTCCTACTGGCAAAGCTCTTACTCTTGGAACGTCCGCTTCGCTCTCAATCTTAAAGGACTTCCGTACGAATACAAACCGGTGAACCTACCAGCTGGAGAGCAGTTCAGTCTAGCCAGGCAATGTCATATGCCGGAGATAACCTATTTAATAAATGATGCCTATGTTTTGAATCCTCTTCATTTTGTTCTACTGTTGGTCGATGGGGATACGGTGGTTTCAGACTCCTTTGCGATATTGCTGTATTTAGAGGACAAGTATCCTCAGAGACCGTTATTGCCAGCTGACCCTCGGCTAAGAGCTCTTAATCTCCAGTGAATATTTTCATAGGCTGCAAGCATTATTAGCTTGAGCCACTTCACATGCTATCAGTGTTGAAGTATCTTACGCAGAAGTCTGGTCCTGAAGAGTCCCTGTCTTGGGCTCAATCGAATATGGATAAAGGTTTCTTCGTTCATGGTCCTTCTAGTTTTACACCATACTCTTCCAATCTTATTAAGTGGAGCAGGAGAGTACTCATTGACGTTAGTCACGGTGAGTTTTTCAAGTTAGAGAAGATGCTCTGCACATCGAAGAGCAGAAAGAAAAGTACTCTGATGGGATTTTTACAGCTGGAGTACACCAGCTTGTGTTCAAACAGTAGAAAAAGAAAAAAAGAGGAGTGATAATGGATGGGCACAACCAGGCTGTCCAAGAAAAGCAAGTGGAGTGAGCCCTCCAATTTCACCAAGAGACAGAGACATAGACGCAGTGGAAAGCAAAAGGAAAAGAGAAAAAGAGAAAGAAATGGAGTGGGAAAAGAAAAGCAAAGCAAAAAAGCGAAAGCAAGGAATAAACACCCCACCAGAATGATGTGATTTACTTTTCTTGGCAGATGTATGATGTAATTTATTTTTCTTATCTTTCGGAGACATCTGTATAAAACCCCATCAGAAGGTAATAAAAAAAAAACACAAAGCCCAAAATAAATGGGTTGGAATGTTGTGTAGAGGGCGAAGGCCCATAAGCCCAAAATAGCTCCAACCAGGTGATCAAAAGTACGCTCAGTACCCAAAATTATTCAGCAACATGCCGTTATTACCACAAACCAAGTGATCAAAAGTACGCTCAATACTCCAAAATTATTTGGCAACCTGCCGCTATTACCACCAACCAGGTGATGAAATGTACAACCCATACTTTAATATCATTTAGAAACTAGCCATTCATGCCACCAACCAGGTGATGAAATGTACAACCCGTACTCTAATATCATTTGACAACTAGCCATTCATGCCACCAACCAGGTGATGAAATGTAGAACCTGTACTCTCTTTCATGCCACCAACCAGGTGATCAAAAGTATGCCCAGTACTCCAAATTATACATGAGCATTACTCATGTCATTCATACATAAACATTCATGAGCATCACTCATGACAATCATACATAAACATTCATGACCATCATTCATGTCAACATTTATGAGCATCACTCATGTTAACATTTATGAGCATCACTCATGACAACAACCATGAGCATCACTAATATCAATCAACATAAACATTCATGAGCATCACTCATGTCAATCAACTTCAAAAGCTTCATTTACAGAGCTCTAGCTTCAAAAGCTTCATTTACAGAGCTTTAGCTTCAAAAGCTTCATTTACAAAAGCTCCAGCTTCGAAAGCTTCATTTACAGAGCTCTAGCTTCAAAGCTTCACTTGCAAAGCTTCACCTACAAAGCTTCAGTGCAGGGTATAGAAATACCACCTCCGAACAACCGCCACTTCGGCCCATACATGGATTCAATTTGAAGTCTCTAGCTAACAGACTTTGTTGACCTAAGACTTGGGGGACTACATTA